AAGAAGAAGAAGAAGACCGACAATTAATTGAATAATAATTAAATGAATGACAGGAAAACTGGCTACAGACAATATGGGAACTCTGTACTATTTACATAACTGTTCTGTACATCTAAAACTATACTAAAAATTAAGTCTATTAAAAAGAAAAGGTGGTCAGTGATCAAGAATGCCCTCACTGAGGGCAAGACATTGGAATCAAAGCTCCTAGGAATTGGGAGTGATTCCTGCAAAGTCTGGGGTAGGTCCTTCATGGCAGAGAGGACAGCCCCCTGGAGGGAGGGATCCAGTGTATTCAAGTAAGTGATGGGGAGAGGGACAGAGGAGGAAGGCAGAGAAGAAAGCAGGGAACAGCTCATTTGGGGTCTTGTAGGTCACTGGCAGAAACTGGGTTTTACTCTAAGCAGGATGGAGAGCCGCAGAGAGGGATCTGAGCAAAGCAGGGTGCAGCTTCCTTGTGTTTCTGCACCATCACGGTGGCTGCTGAGATGAGCTCCGTCTGCAGGTGGAAGCAGGAGAAGAGCTATCAGCCTTGAGTCTACCTGTCTCACTGAACCAGCGGAGGCTGCAAGTGCACCTGCACCAGCCAGAGCACTTGGGCCGTGGAACCACATACCGGGTGGACCTTAGAAGGGTCATCAAGCTCCAGCCTGGCCACCACGCAGCCTGCTTCCAGCACGGCCCCTGGACGCTTGATGTACTTCACCCGGCCACTTTCCTGCACGTTCAGGGTCATGATCATCTTCATCACCTATTTCGTAAAAAGAAGAAATAGTACAGAGCCCGTCAGGATTGACACCCAGAGCCACCCAGAACTAGTGATGCCAGAGCAGGGACTCGTCATCTAAATGGAATGACTCCCTGGGCAGTGTTCAGGCAGAAGGGACAAGGAAAAGTGACCTTTACTGGAAGCCTGCTATGCACCAGGCAAGTGCCATTCACTCTGCAAAGCCAGCCAAGGAGGTGTTTGTGATGCCCATTTACAGATATGGAAACTGATGTTTATTTCCAAAGGGGGGTCTTCTCTCTCTTAGAAATACTGTTAAATCATGTTACATAGAGTGGTTCATATACACGTTCCTAAAATGTACTGCATAAGTCAAACATTTTGTGAACAGTTTGTTTTATTAAAGGCACTTAGACAACCAGGGAACACTCTGTGAAATGAAGAATCTGCTCATCAGCCCTTTCAATGTGCCTCTCTGAGTGTCTGGATATGTGGATGGCATGAGCTTTGTCACCATGGTGTCAGCTGCAGAGCCAGGACTACGCTGTCTCTCTTGCTTGGCAGTTCACAGCTTGGGCACCCAAGTCAGCCAGCCCTGGACTAGAATCCCAGGACCCGCCCCCTCTCCCCAATACCTCTGTGATCTTCAGAAGTGGCTTCCCTCCTTGAGCCTCAGTTTCCCCAAGTGTAAAATGAGGAATAATGACAGTTTCACCTCTTAGGGCTCTTATGAGGATTAAATGAGATGCAGATCCTGCCACGCAGCAGGTCAATACGCAGTAGCTACTACTATTGCTGTATTTTCATTGCTATTACTGTTGTTATTTTCCAGGTTTGAATCCTGGCTTTGTGTGACCTCCAGCGAGTTTCTTAGCCTGCCTGGGCCCAGTTTTTTTATAAAATGGGGACCACATTTGTGCCCATCTCATACAGTTGCTGGGAAGGTTAAAAAATAAAGATCAGTAAAACGCTTAGAACAGCACCTGCCACATGGTTACAGCTTTGCAAGTATTGGCTGAACACCTTTCGATCACTGCTGGGGTCAATATTTAATATTTAATCAATGATTGATAATAATTGTTATTATCAATCAATTCTTGGCTGGGTGCAGTGGCTCATGCCTGCAATCCCAGCACTTTCGGAGGCCAAAGCAGGTGGATCATCTGAGCTCAGGTGTTTGAGAACAGCTTGGGCAACATGACGAAACCCTGTCTCTAACAAAAATACAAAAAATTAAGTCAGGCGGGGTGGTGCATGCCTGAAATCCCAACTACTTGGGAGGCTGAGGTGGGGGGACCACTTGAGCCTAGGAGGCGGAGTTTGCAGTGAGCCGAGATCACGCCACCACACTCCAGCCTGGGTGACAGACTGAGACTGTCTCAAAAAAAAAAAAAAAAAATCAAGGAAACTTATTTACAGAACAGTTTACAGAACAGTTTTGTAAATAGTACAGACAGTTCCCATATTCTCTGTATCCAGTTTCTGTGTCATTAACCTTCTTACTCATTCCTGGGGAGGTGTGCATTTTTTGAAGTTTTTTTCTTTGAATACTTCAGGGGATTTGGCTGAAACCCACAGACTGACTCCCTTAGGAATTTGCACACAGTGGCCAAGGGGAGAAGTAGGTCTGTTTGTTCAGACATGGGACAAAGCCAGAGGAGTGAGGGTTTGAGGGTTCAGGATTCCCCACGGCCGGCTCTGCAGTCACCTCCATCTCAGCGTAGCTGCTCCCAGCCTCAACGTGGCCCCCGTCCTCCACTGTGTACTGTGTCAGCTTCCCAGCCGAGGGGGATCTCAGGACCGTAGGATCATTCTCCTTCTCAAACACACATGTCTTATTGCCGATGGTAATTCGGTAACTGGGAGAGAGGAGGAGTGGGTAGGGAGACTGATGAGGACCATCAACCCAGCAAGCCCTAGTCCGGCTTTCAATACCATTTCCCCTTCCTAAAGGGGGAGTGTACCCTCTACATTCCCAAAGGGTGGCATTTGATAGTTATCTCAGAGACACTGAGAGTGAGGTCGGTGAACAAAAGGCTGTGATGCTTTCTTTGTGAGGCCGAGGTGGGAGGATCGCTTGAGGCCAGGAGTTTAAGACAAGCCTGGGCAACACAATGAGACCCCGTTTCTACAAAAAAATTTAAAAAAAAAAAATTAGCTGGGCATGGTAGCACATGCCAGGAGTCCCAGCTACTCAGGAGGCTGAGGCAGGAGAATCCTTTAAGCCCAGGAGTTCGAGGCTATTGTGAGCTATAATTACTCTGTCACCGAGGCTGGAGTGCAGTGACACAATCATGGTTCACTGAAGTCTCGACCTCCCTGGGGTCAGGTGATCCTCCCATCACAACCCCCTGATTTGTGCTACTACACTTGGCTAGTTGTTATATTTTATAGAAATGGGGTTTTGCCATGTTGCCCAGGCTAGTCTCAAACTTCTGGACTCAAGTGATCAGGGTCTCACTCTTGCCCAGGCTGGGCAACAGAGTGAGAACCAGTCTTTATTTATTTTATTTTTTATTTTTTATTTTTTGAGACAGAGTCTCGCTCTGTTGCCCAGGCTGGAGTGCAGTGGCGTGATCTCGGCTCACTGCAAGCTCCGCCTCCTGGGTTCACACCATTCTCCTGCCTCAGCCTCCCAAGTAGGTGGGACTAAGGTACCTGCCACCACACCAGGCTAATTTTTTTTGTATTTTTTAGCAGAGACAGGCTTTCACCATGTTAGCCAGGATGGTCTCGATCACCTGACCTCGTGATCCACCCGCCTCGACCTCCCAAAGTGCTGGGATGACAGGCGTGAGCCACTGCGCCCAGCTGAGAACCAGTCTTTAAAATAAAATAATAAAAAGGATGTGACCCTTTTTTGGCTGAAAGCTGGTTCCTTTTACTGACATACTTCCAACAGGGCCTGACACAGAAAAATCAATCAGTGGATATGATTCAACAAATATTTACTGACTCAAAGTCTTAACCTTTGAACTGGGGTGAGTGGAACCTATAATAATCCTGAATATTCTTGGCAGATAGAACATGGGTTGAAAAAGAGATAACAGGCAGGGTGCGGTGGCTAATGCCTGCAATCCCAGCACTTTGGGAGGCCGAAGCTGGCTGACTGCTTCAGTCCAGAAGTTCAAGACCAGCCTGGGCAACATGGTAAAACCCTGTCTCTACAAAAAGTACAAAAATTAGCTGGGTGTGGTGGCATGTCCTTGTAGTCCCAGCAACTTGGGGGACTGAGGTGAGGGAATCATCTTGGAGCCCAGGAAGTCAAGGCTGCAGTCATGATGGTACCACTGTACTCCAGCCTGGGTGACAGAGCAAGACCCTCTCTCAAAAAAAAAAAAAAAAAAAAAAAAAGGAGATAACAAAACATTACTCTGGCATAAACCTAGTCTGCCTTCTTCCCAAATATTAAGGATTAAAAAGTCTCCACTCTCTAACTGGAGCTTTTCAGACTTTTCAGACATCCCCTCTCCTTTTGTCACCTTGGCCGGGTCTGTTTCATTGCGTGACCTCGGTGTGATCAGACACACTGGAGGCAGAGCATCTTTGGGGCCTATCTCACTATCTCACGAGCCCCTGTGCTAAGAGCTTCCAGGACATCTTGTGTGTTACCCGTCAGGTACACAACACCCTTTCCTGCCACTATCTGTTTGTTCAGTGTGTCATCTTCCCCAATGGGTTGGAAGCTCGGCAAGTCACACCCAGCATGCTATCCCAACACCTAGCACAGCGCCTGGTACGGAGGAGCTTGGTAGGGCACTGCCGCGCTAACTGGGTGGATGCCGGGGCTCAGATGCACAGGCAGCAAGCACCTCGTCACACACCTCGCAGGCCACGGAGCTGGGAGTCATGTCCTGTTCAGCTCTGAATCCCCACCAACCAGGTTACTAGAAAAGGGCCCCCTAGGATCCTCCCCTAAGTATGTGCCAGTTGCACAGAATTCCAACCAAGAGATTAGCTTCTCTGCACGCCCCCAGAATTTACTGGAGAGGCACCTTCTCTAACACCCTTGGATCTGCACATAGGCCAGCACTGGGTTTTCCATGCCTAGGACAGAGAGCTGTGCACGCCCAGCCCACAGTGGGACTCGCACCCCCACGAACCTGTCAACCTCTTCCTTCATGTAGGTGGTGTAGCTGTTCCCATTGTAGGAGAGCAGGAGCCCCCCATCGTTCAGCCGGTGGGCGTCAATCTCGATGTGGCAGCCATTCATGATGAGAACGAACATGGTCAGAGACTGCCGGGCCACCTGTGGGGACAGGCCCTTTTCACCGCCTGGGTTCAGGATGTGCTCCCAGAGCACTGTTTGGCCCCACTAACAACAAACAAGAGCTGGTTGTCCACCACAGAGGGCCAAGATGAACACCCCTGTCTCTTGGATCCAGCCCTCACAATCCCTGCCAAGGGAGCAGCTGCTGATGGGGCTGGGGGAGGCCTGGAGTAGCAAGCCACACCTGCCCGTGGGTAATATAGTCGCTGTCAAGCCATGTTGCCGACTGCATGCCCTCTGGGGCTAGTCTCCCTTCTGATTCCTGTCTCCAGCTCTCACTCTGGGTGAGGCAGCCTCAGAGACTCCACCAGCAGCCAGGTGCAATGGACTAAATGTTTGTGTCCCCACAAAATTCATAAGTTGAAATCCCAACCCCTAATGTGATGGCTTTAGGAGGTGGAGCCTTTGGGAGGTGATTAGATCATGAAGGTGGGGCCCTCGTAAAAGAAATTAGTGCCCTTATATAAGATGCCCTGTAGAGCTCCATGGCCCCTTTCTGACATCTAAGGACATAGTGAAAGGACAGCATCTATGAAATGAAAGGTGGGTCCTCAGTAGATACCAAATCTGCCAGTGTCTTGATTTTGACCTTCCCAGCCTAGAGAATTGTGAGACATACAGTGTGTGGTTTAGAAGCCACTCAGTCTTTGGTATTTTATGACAGTAGCCCAAATGGACTAAGACACCTGAACGTAGACTAGGGCTCTGCTCCCCAGACCCAGCTCTGCCCAGGAGCACACAAGAGCTTTGGGACATGCGAGAGAGACACAGCCAAGCCCTGGTCCCAGCACTACATCTGCCTCTAGGAAGAGTGCCTGCCCCATCTGGTACTTCAGTTCAGTTTTCTCTCAGAAAACACACACCCTAAAGGGCCTTCAACCTATAAAATACACATTTTATGACACAAGGTAGCAAGAAATAGAAGAATGTGTATTGCAGCACTATTTGTAATAACAATACAAATTAGAACCAAATTAGTAAGCCAACAACCTTGCAATGGAACACTCTAGATCTGCCCTGTCCAATAGGGTGACCCCTAACCACACACAGCTATTTAAATTGATGAAAATTAAACAAAATGTAAACTTCAGTTCCTCAGTCACACTTGCCACTTTCAAGTGCTCAGTCACCGCATAAGGGCAGCATCGTGGACACAGCAGGTAAAGAACATTCCCATCACTACTGAAAGTGCGGGGAGACAGTGCTGTAGACATGAGTTTAGACTCGTGTTAAAGAAAACTTGTTAATAGCATGGAAAACTTTATGCCACGATCATATCAAAGCTGCAAAACTGTATTTGCACCATGATCTCAACTTTGTAAAATTAATGCAAAAGAAAAAAATACGTAACAAAGATTTGCTAAAATGTTCACCAGGATTACCTCTAGGCATTAGCACATGATGGATTTGTTTTCCTGATTTTTTAGGCTCGCTTGAAATTTTGAAATTTTCTACATTGTGCATGTGTGACATTTAAAATCAAGTTAGGGGCAGCCACGTCCCCAAAGGTAGCCAAGAGGCATTAGGGGCAAAGGAGGATGATTGTGAAAGCACACCCTGATCAATGATACACAGGTTTAGTTGAACTAAAGCCCCCAAATCTCCCAAGTTGTGAGTTCTACTCGTGCTCATCTATATTAAATAGAAAGCATTAGTTAAAAAAAACAAAAATTCTGTCTCAGAAGCAGACTCAAACTCTGTCCTCTTTTCCCTCCCGACAATTCCTGGAACCTGGAATGTGACCTTATTTGGAATGGGGTCTCTGCAGATGGAACTAAGATGAAATCATACTGGATCAGGGTAGGCGCTAAATCCAAGGTGACTGGTGTTCATACAAAGAGACACAAAGACACAGTCATGAAAGACAATGTGAACACACACACACACACACACACATACACACACACACACACACATACACACACACAGAGGCAGAGGCCGGGGGGTGGCTCATGCCTGTAATCCCAGCACTTTGGGAGGCCAAGGCAGGCAGATCACTTGAGCTTAGGAGTTCAAGACCAGCCCAGGTAACATGGTGAAATCCCATTTCTACTAAAAATACAAAAATTAGCCAGGCATGGTGGCATATGCCTATAATCTCAGCTACTCAGGAGGCTGAGGCAGGAGAATCGCTTGAACCTGGGAGATGGAGGTTGCAGTGAGCCAAGATTGCACCACTGCACTCCAGCCTGGGCGACAGAGCGAGGCTCCGTTTGGGAAAACAAAAAAACCAGAGACAGAGACGGGCAAGGCAGCCACAAGCCAAAAATCACCAGGGACTGCCAGCAGCACCAAAAGCTGGCAAGGCTCGGAACAGATCCTGCCCCAGCGCCTTCTTCAGAGAGACCACGGCCCGCCAACACGTTGATTTTACACTTGGCCTCCAGAACTGGGACAGAATAAATTTTTGTTGGTTTAAACCAGTTTGTGGTACCTTGTCTCCGCAGCTACAGGAAACTTATCCACGCTCCACTGTGCCCTCTGCGGACTACACAGCCCTACATGTTCTAAAAGCCAAAGTGTTTAGGTGTCAAGGTCACGGACTACACGGGCATTCCTGAGGAACACAAGTGCTCAAACCCAAGCATGGGCAAATCCACTCCAGGGATGGTTCATGGAAGAAAGAAACTCCCTGAAGCTTGCACAGTGTTGGAGAAATCGGAGAGGCACGGGGGCATTTACCTTGAGAATGTACTTAATGCCTCCGTAAATTAATTCCACATCTACGATGTTCAGTAGTGAATCCGCTGGGAGGACCTGGCCCCTGAAAGAAAAGACAGGGCCATGGTCAGCCTTGGGAGGGACTGAGAACTCCACAGCCATCCCTTGCATTTAAAAAAATTACGCAGCTCTCTGCATCAGCAAACCTGACTGCAGTAAAAATGCTAAGCCTGGGCCGGGCGCAGTGGCTCACGCCTGTAATCCCTGCACCTTGGGAGGCCGAGGCAGGCATATCACTTGAGGCCAAGAGTTCAAGACCAGCCTGGCCAACATGGCAAAGCCCCATCTCTACTAAAAATACAAAAATTAGCCAGACATGGTGACATGCACCTGTCAACCCAGCTACTCGGGAGGCTGAGGCACAAGAATTGCTTGAAAGCAGAGGAGGCGGAGGTTGCGGTGAGCTGAGATTGCACCATTGCACTCCAGGCGGGGTGACAGAGCGAGACTGTATCTCAAAAAAAAAAAAAAAAAAGCTAAGTCTGATTAAAAGGCACGCACAGAACCTGAATCACCCCGAGGAGCCTAATATTGCTCAGAACTTAAGGAATCAGCACTTGCTGAAGGATCTGAAATCTTAAAAACGCTTTTCGGGAGCAAAATCCATAATGGCCTCTCGGAAAAATTTCACATATGGGATCCTGCCTCCTGCTTATGAAAGAAACCAGAGCAGGGACTACGATTCTACTACCGTTCAAAAGCATAACAAAGCACTAAAAACGTTTCTCGCCAGCACGGTGGCTCACTCCTATAATCTCAGCACGTTGAAGAGTTGAGGCAGGAGGATTGCTTGAGGCCATGAGTTTGAGAACAGCCTGGGGGGAAATATAGCGAGATCCCATCCATACAGAAAATTTAAAAAATTGGCCAGGCATGATGGCATGCACTGGTGGCCCCAACTACTTGGGAGGCTGAGGTGGGAGGATCACTGGAGCCCAGGAAGTCGAGGCTGCAGTGAGCCGTGATCACACCACTGCACTCTAGCCTGGGTGACAGCCTGGATGACAGAGAACTCGCCCAAAAAAAAAAAAAAAAAAGTCCTTTTACTTTCTTCTTGATAGTTCCTTTGCCTCTTGCAGTAGTTATTCACTGGGGGTGATTATTCTGCTCCTAACCCTGGGACATTGGGCAATGTCTGGAGATGTATTTGATTATCACGGCTCAGAGGGAAGGGCTGCTCCTGGCATTTAGTAGGGAGAGGCCAGGAATGCTGCTAACATCCTATGATGCAAAGGACAGGCTCCCAAACAAAAAATGATCCAGCACAAAACGTTAAAGTGCTGAGGCTGAGAAACCCCGGCCTATCCTAACAGAGATCGCCTAGTTGCTTTCCATTCTGGTCCATTTTATGATGACCCTCTGATTCAGGTGAGGGTCTGGGAATGCACCCATTTGTAGAGATGACCTTTCAGCCGCTTTGCTTCCTAAATCCACCTCCTTGAACTCAGAACTCCTGACTATTATGATGTACCTTACACAAGTCAGCATGGATCTGTACACAACAGTCTGTACACTGACTGCCACCCTGGCCTCGAGAATCCCATTCCCTGACCCATGGCCTCTTTGAGGGTGGCCTAGGTTGATCCGCAGAGGAATTTCCCCGAGGCAAGACCGGAGGAGAGACTCACCAATTGCCTGGTGACTAACTGGCCACACAAATAAAGGAGACAGGTTCTGCCTCCTAAGCTGCTAACACATATCACAAAAGCAGAAGGGAACTGCCACAGGCCCTACCTTTCCAGGCAGTGTAAGAAATCTGTCATGCACGTTCTGAACATCGCATCGGCCACGTTCAAGGCCCCGCATACCACCCCAAGCATGATATCCGGTTTCTCCGCCTAGGAGAGAATGTACTTCAGTATCCTCAGGAAGCTGAGGTCTCGGCCATCCAGAGGGGAGACACAGGCAGCTCACTCTCCACCTGCACTTTCTCAGCAATGAGGTAGTCCAACCACCCGGTGTCGATGTCATTGTTCTGGAAGCTCTCGGTCTCCAGGAGGTTAATGAGGTATTCCACGGTGGTCCTAAAGTCACCTCGGATGGACAGTTCCTTCAAAGCCACCACCATGTTCCTTGAAGGGAAAGGCACATGGATCATTCTCCAAATTCATGCATACATCAACAGAGTTGCTGCAATCATGTGGTTCAGAGAACTAGAAAAGCACAGGAGTGGACAGGTGTGGTGGCTCACGCCTGTAATCCCAGCACTTTGGGAGATTGAGGTAGGTGTATCACTTGAGGTCAGGAGTTCGAGACCAGCCTGGCCAACATGGTGAAACCCCATTTCTACCAAAAACACAAAAATTAGCTCAGCATGGTGGAGCACACCTGTAATCCCAGCTACTCAGGAGGCTGAGGCAGGAGAATCGCTTGAACCTGGGAGGCAGATGTTGCAGTGAGCTGAGATCGCCACTGCACTCCCACCTGGGTGACAGAGCAAGACTCTGTCTCAAGAAAGAAAAGAAAGAAAAGAAAAAAAAAGAAAAGAAAAGAAAAGAGAGGAGAGGAGAGGAGAAAAAAAAGGAAAGGAAAGGAAAGAGAAAAGAAAAGCACAGGAGTTAAGAGAAGGCTCTGACTGACACAGCCAGTACATTGATTCAGCACCACGGTTTACTGCCTGGGTAATCTTGGCCAAGTGACTTGGGAGCTCTGGGCCTCACTTTCCTCCTGAGGAAAATGGGGAAACAGCCCTGACTTCAGAAGGGTGTTTCCGAATTGAAAGGAGACAACCCATGTAATGCACATGGCCACGGGTCAATAAATGTTAACTACAATGAACGTGATTAGTTACCATTGTTATCATTATTGACTATAATAGTTAATGATTAGTAGACAGAGAACCGGCCAGCCATGGTGGTCCACGCCTGTAATCCCAGTACTTTGGGAGTCTGAGGCGGGAGGACTGCTTGAAGCGAGGAGTTCAAGACCAGCCTGGGAAAAATAGTGAGACCCTATCTCTACAAAAAAGTTTTTTAAATCAGCCAAGCTTGGTGGTACGTGACTGTATTCCCAGCTACTCAGGAGGCTGAAGGGGGAAGATCACTTGAGCCCAGGAGTTTGGGGCTGCAGTGAGCTATGATCACACCACTGCATTCTAGCCTGGGCAACACAGTGAGACACCATCTCTTAAAAGAAGAAAAGACAGAGGGAAAATTGGTCACTGCCTCTGTCTCTCCCTTGACCTATTCCAATCTCCTCCTGTCCCCAGAGCTGGTGCCACCCTCTCACCATCCACACAGCTGTTCCACCTGTGTATGTGGGGTGCACCTGCAGATGGATGGCACTGTCACCCGGCTCAGGGGCCTGGTGGGCCCCATGGCTGCCTCTCCCCAACACATAGCCTCCAATCTCCAAGCACACCAGTTCAAATGGCTAAACCTCAGGCTGGGCGTGGTGGCTCACGCCTGTAATCCCAGCACTTTGGGAGGCCAAGGTGGGCGGATCACCTAAGGTCGGGTGTTCAAGACCAGCCTGACCAACATGGAGAAACCCCATCTCTACTAAAAATACAAAATTAGCCAGGCGTGGTGGTGCATGCCTGTAATCTCAGCTACTTGGGAAGCTGAGGCAGGTGAATTGCTTGAACCCGGGAGGCAAGGTTGTGGTGAGCCAAGATTGTGGCATTGCACTGCAGCCTGGACAACAAGAGCGAAACTCCATCTGAAAAAAAAAAAACCACAAATGGCTAAACCTCTACTCCCTATGGATTCACGGTGAGTGTGGGCAGGTATCTGAATACCTCTTCTTCTGGGAGAGAAAGCTTTCTTTCTTTCTCTTTTGAGACGGAGTCTCACTCTGTTGCCCAGGTTGGAGTGCAGTGGCACAATCTCAGCTCACTACAACCCCTGCCTCCCATGTTCAAGTGATTCTCCTGCCTCAGCCTCCCAAGTAGCTGGGATTACAGGCGCCCACCACTATGCCTGGCTAATTGTTATATTTTTAGTAGAGATGGGGTTTCACTCTTGTTGCCCAGGATGGTCTCGAACTTAGTGCTGGGATTACACGCGTGAGCCACCGAGCCCCTCTTTTTTTTTTTTGAGACGGAGTTTCACTCTTGTTGCCCAGGCTGGTGTGAAATGGCATTATCTCAGCTCACTGCAACCTCCACCTCCCAGGTTCAAGCAATTCTCCTGCCTCAGCCTCCTGAATAGCTGATATTACAGGCAGCCACCAGGACGCCCCGCTAATTTTTGTATTTTTAGTAGAGACAGGGTTTCGTCCTGTTGGCCAGGCTGGTCGTAAACTCCTGACTTCAAGTGATCCGCCGTGGCCTCCGAAACTGCTGGGATTACAGGCATGAGCCACTGTGCCTAGCCGAGAAAGTTTTCATGTCTTGCAGCATCCTGTGTGCTGTCAGCAGGTAACAGGGAAGGACACTGATGACCCCATTTTGGGGGTGAGAAAATGAAGACCCAGTGAGGTCAAACAAGGGTATCCACAGGCCATGAGTCAGCTGTGGGTCTGGAAGCCGGGTCTGAGTTAACCCGCTGGCCTCACGGGTGCGTGGCTTGTCCCAGTTTCCTCGGGGCAGTCCCCATTTTAGCACTGAGAAGTCCTTCAGCCTGAGAAACCAGTGCCAGGAAAACCAGGAGAGCTGATCTCCCTGCTGGACTCTCACTAAGAGCAATAAGAAAAGCTGGAATTTCTGCCTATGAGTTCTGTTGAAGTTGCAGTTGAACCACTCGTAGCATGTGACAAGCCACAGGTCACTTCACTCGGAGGGGTCTGGGTTGGCTGACCTGTCTCCCGCATCCTATTAAGCCCTTTTTGCTGCAATTTTCCATAAACTTCAAAGATCTCAATTTTTCACTAAGCATGATTAAAATTAATTATTCTAAGCTGGCAAAGAAAGCCTGATCATCAAAACTGCCCAACTCAATTCAATTCATGGCTAAGTGCCCCAGGCCAGATTTTAATGCTAAGGCCTTTGGGATTTTTTCACTCCGAAGGGCAGTTATTTACCCACACAAAAACCTTTAATTACAAAGTAAACTAGTTTTCTACCTTTCCACACCCATGTCAAGTCAGGGCAAGTGTCGGATGTGGTGTGTCAGAATTTGGGGGTCCCCCTGTCAATGTGGGCTTCTCAGCTCTGCAGCAACTATCACAAGCCTGGGAGGACTTGGCTGAGCTGGGGACATGGGGCTGCTGTCACAAGCCTCAGGGTGGTGGATGGTTCACAGCGGGACACACTCCTTAAAATTTAGTCTTCCACATGAAATACAACCAATTAGGGAACTACCAATAAGGTTTAAATGTAAAGGAGTTTCCCTCCTCCTTTCTTCAGCTATAGTACTTAGCACCTTTTAAACTTTGGGTACTCCTTGAACGATCTTTAGATCTCCTTCAAGCTAGACCAAATGACATGGTGCACTCATTTTACTCTGTGGATCTTCAATAAAGGAAAAGGGCAGGCTTTGATCTTGAATTTCAAGCACAGGGTATTTAAAATGGGGCCTACCCTGTGATTTACTTTTCTGGGTCTCCTCAAATGCAACTGTATCTGAAGCCCCAGGGGACCTTTTAGTTTCTTAAAGGAAGGAATTGGGAAAAGGAGGAAGTGGGAAGGGAAGGAAAGAAGGAAGGAAGGAAGGAAAGACTGAGGAAGAAAGGGAGGGGGAGGAAAGCAGAGAAGGGAGGAAAAGAAGGAAGGAGGGAGGAAGGGAGGAAGAAAGAAGACAGGAAGA